ATGCACCACCAAAAGCTTTACTTTTATTAGCCTTACAATATAAAATTCTGGTATTAGATATACGCACTTAAGCCTCCATTATTTTATGTTTAATTAATACTGACATTCCCAAGTCTATAAGTCTTCGAACTGCACCTGAAGATTGATTCACAGCGTCAAAGTTTGCTGGAATAGTTTGCGTTTAATGCTCTTCGAATTACCATTTACATATTTAATTACATTCGTAGTTTTATAGCCCAAACAGCACACGACGTTGCAAACTGGTCCGAGAGGGTGCAAAATGGTTGTGGTAACTTTTATGACGGCTTTACAACGTTGCGAAGGCGCAAAATATTTGCCGTTGCAATTTGTCGACGTAGCTGAAACGTCATGATATGACCGCTTTAGACGTGGTCGCTTTAGCATTTTTCTCATAATTCATCAGCGTTATTTTTAGAATGATAAGAGACTAAATCTGCCCTTTCAAGAATCTGAAGTCCGCATAATATTTACTTTGCAATGTTTCATTACTTTATTTCTTCTAAATATATTAATCTAAGGTAGATTCATCTAATGAAATATAAATTTTAATATAAATACTTTTGATTTTATTACATTTAATTAGTACTAAAAGTACGTGCTAAATAATTCTTTAAAATTTTTGTTAAAATAATTAATACTTACTTAAAATATTTTTTTTATAAATATTGTAATAAAATATTAAAAAAATTAAAAATTAAACTAATCTATAAAGCAAGTTATTATGTTATTCATTTTATATACTTTAAAAAATCATATTTCCGAAATCAATGTAAATCACATGTTAGCAATTATTTCACTAGTGAAATATGACTTTATTTATTATTTTTGAAGTAAGGACGAATTTATTTGAATTAATATTGGGACATTATAGGAAACATTTTACCGCATACAGTGCAAAAAGTACAATTTTCGCGAAGATATGATTGTGCTTGAAGATGTATTCACGGATGAAAAATGGGGCAATTTTAAGAATTGTGAGAAAGCGTCCAATGCTAAAAGACGATGCATATTTAACGGCTATCCAATATATATGACGAAACACCCATCTATAGTCAGTAGAATGACACATTATTTACCGGATGCTTATATAAACGAACATCTCGAGATTTGCGCACTTCGGTTAGCTGCCAAATACGAACAAGTAACTGAGCAATTAATTGAGTTTCTAGCAGTTCTTCCAAGTAATTTGGTAAAGATTCCATCTGTAAAGCGTTTGAAAAGACTGATTTCATGTTTGAAATTGAATCAAGCAATGCCTGATATAAATAATGTTGCTTGTATTAAAAACAAATGTAATGCACTGTCAATCAAAGAGCTCATTTTGGAATCTTCTCATTGTTCTGTATCTACTTCCTTCAGTTCCCTTCAGCGAGTGAAATTCCATTGCTGTGAGCTCCTATTTGGAAGCTTCTGAATGAGGAGTAATCATCGTGAGAATGCTGAATTTGTACTTATTTTGTTTGTGATTATATTCTCTACAAGAAATGCTACAATGCTAATCGTGAACATTGTGTTCGTGAAATTGTGTTTTGGTGTCCAATGAGTAGTATACGGCAGTGTTCTCCTATCTCTGTGGTTCCAGCGGTGCAATATTTCGATACACTTATTAACTTTGCGCTTCGTTTATAACGTCCTAAGTGCTATATCTTATTCTAATCGATTATTGTGTTCATATTGAAAGGTTGATTCTCAGAACAAAACCAAAAATAACATACAACGGTAAGGCACTTTCTGGTTTTGCTGAAATTGCAATCAATACAGAAGCAACAACAATTCAAGCGGTTATCATATGTTCATTAATTTCAAAATACAAAGAAATTATTGGACTAGTACCAGTACTTGATATAATTGTTGAAGATGAATTAGATGTATGTAATAGCAAGAAGCAATACATTAAAATTAATAATAATGCACGTTCTATAAGTATGTTGTCTTTTGTATAGTATGCAGAAAAGATTAATGATATTAAACAATGTATGAAATGTATGATCGAAACACTGTGTAATTCGAGTTTTTTTAAATATTGCCGTTATGCATGTTTATTAGATTATCTCAATAAATGAATGTTGGAAATTAGGTTTTATTTTTTATTAAATTTAAGTATATTATATTGCCGTTATGTATGTTTATCAGATTATCTCAATAAATGAATGTTGGAAATTAGGTTTCACTTTTTTATTAAATTTAAGCATATTCTATTTTCTACTCTTACTTTTATGTGCTTGTGATAACAAAAAATTCATAATAAATAGAAACATAAAGTTTCATCGTGTGCTATTTAACGAAGAGCTTACTTTAACGTACTTAACTTAGTATCGTATACTAAATTATTTAAATTATTTCTGTACAGTAACAAAAGGAAAGTTACTGATTATAAATATGCATGAAATAATCATTGTAATCTAGCACTATTCTAAAATGAAGAAACTAAAATAAGTAAATAAGTTAACTAAGTTAACATATGATCGAAAGAAATGGTGTTAAGAAACATTAGTATTACTAGTAAATACAGCAATTCATAACTATTGCACTTTTAATTGCTTACTATTTATAAAACACAATTTTTTTTATTAATTGGAAATTTTAGTTCTGTTACCTTCCTTCTGCTATTTATACTTTCAAACTCTATTAGTTCATGTTTTTTCTTAAATAGTGCTGTCATATATGTTCTTTGTTAGGTTATTATTTCACATTAGATATGAATATGGGAAGTTATTAGATTTAGGTATATTTTTGAATAAAATATTTTGATCACATTTATTAACTATTTTATAGACTTTCATTTGCATATCTTGGAGATATAGAAGTTAATGTTTATATTTTTTATTGTGAAATGCAAATAAATTTATATATGACCTCAGATCAAATACTGATTATGTTAACTTAAGAACTGCTTCCTAATATATCGTGACAGGGTCAATTTTCAGTGTGTCTGAGATTTAACAGAAATGTGATAAATCTATTATCAGTAACGCTCCTTTTTTTAAACCACATATATGTCTTTACTTTTATTTATGCTTAATTGAGTTTTATATGCTTAAAATGCACTATTAATGTCATATATTTATAATAAGCACTTTCATAATTACTCTCACTTAAGGAAAAAAAATGATGAAATCTTAAATGATCGTAACTTAGAATTTAAGTTATTTAAAAATATAGTTTAAAGTACTGAAAATAATTAAGGCTATAATTAATTACGTATATTTAGTGTAAATAGTAAAAATTGTATTATCTTCTGTTTTTCAGGAAATGATAAAATATTTAAGCTTTAGAAATATACAAGGAATACAAAATTTTAAAGAAAAAGAAAATATAATCACTATTAAGCTTATTTTTCTGCATAAATCAATACGTAACACAAGCACATAATAACGATATTTTCACAACTGTTGCAAAAAGGTGGAAATTTGCGAACATTTAGGAGTCGTTAAGATGTCATGATACGATGCTTTTGCAACCAAATTATCACCTGCGAAAAACGCAATAACGACGTCTATGCGACAAAACACTCATCTGCAAAGACGTAATAAAGACGTCTTTGCAACTGTTACAAAACAGTGGATGTTCGCGGACATCTCGGTATCTTAAAGACGACATATTGCAACGTTTTTGCAAGACGACTCGCTATTCTGCTACTTTGGATAATACTGACTTTTTATTAAAGTGTCCAGTCAGTTTGATAAGCTAGGCCCAGATGACTTTGCTAAATGATTTTATAACATTTGGTTGCACTCATTTAAATAATGTGACACCTTCCCCTTTAACCCAGATATATAGATGAAGCGGGTATCATCCATATCATAAGATGGAGTAACATAATGCTTCACAAAAGATGAGATAATTTGCTGCTGATAACATTTGAAGAAATATGCACGAAAAATAGTCTGTGGATTCCTCTTTTTATTAACTTATTTTCCACATGTTTAGAGATTTCTGTATTGCTGTATTGTAAATACATTTGTTTTGATTTTGAGATGTTAATATGGGTTTGGAAATGTGTACAAAAGATTATACATTTGATTGACAAACTGCTTGATCTGCTCACCAGCTAATTTCACCCTCTGATTGTGAGTGACCTTTAATAGACCCTAGTTTTATTTGCACAAGAGTGCTGGTAAAATTCATTCCGATGGATTTTTACCAGTGCTTTTTCTTTTCTTTTTTTTTTTTTGGATGTACCCACAGAAACAGCACTTGTACTGGATTGATTACCATTCTGAGCCTCTGCCATTGTTATGATGAAAAATAAAACAGCGTCTACCACATAACTTGCCACATAAATTGTTTGCTTTGAGTAGTTTATCTTATCAGCTTTTAACGAGAAGTAAATTTTAAGAAGACAAAGTAGCTATACTTCTATCATCCGTTTGAGAAGTAGACAAGAATGAGTTAGATATATCCGAAGAGAGTTATATTCTGACAGTTATATGTATCCTAATGGGAGAAACAAATTTTTTTTTTCTTAGAGATAATTTCTTTTCATAAAAAGGACTCTAAAATGTCAAAACCATTTTTTTCTTTTGAGAATTATCGCGTTGTTTCCTAAATGTTGGTCTCGATTTAATCTTTAAGTATTCAAACAGTCACTTCCATTGTATGCTCAAAGAATCATGATTATGTCGGGCAACTTTTGTTTATGATAAGGAAATGAAGTGTAGTAAACTTCATAAGGCTCCATCTGTCTTTACTGCAAAACCTTTTGCCATTTTCAATTCCTTAATTTTTATTTCTAAGCAGAATAGCAGAAAGTTCATCATCTACTCTGACTCTCTGAGTGCTCTTGATTCAATAAATGCAAATACAGGCTACCTTTTGGTTTTAGAAATTGTAAAGGCACACCTCCGTTTGGAGAAACGCAGGTTATTCTATTGCGTACTGCTGGGTGCCTGGACATGCTGGCATCAAAGGCAAGGAACTCGCCGACGGCGCAGCAAAATCTTCTGATGTTATCACTGAAAGTGATGTCCCTTTTACAGACATACGGAATTACATCAGATCCAAAGATCTTGTCCAGGTGGCAAAAACTCTGGGAATGCCAGACTCTGAACAAATTAAGGCAGGTTAAACCCAATTTCGAGTATTGGGAGACGAGAGAGAATCGAAAGGAGGATGTACTGCTGATTCGCCTACGAATTGGTCACTGCAGACTGACACATCAGTATCTCTTGAAAGGAGGTAATAAGCCTATTTGTGGTACTTGCAACGTTCCCATTTCAGTCAATCACATTTGAACCTGCTGTCCTACTTTTAGTCAAAAACGGGATTATCATTTTAACTCAACGAATGTTAACTTAACAGATCTCAATGGAAGAAACCCCGCACATCAACCTCATTTAAAAGTCATCTCTTTTTACCATATGTTTTGAAGTTATTATCCTCTTATCCTTCTCTACCTGTTGCTAAAGCATTTCTCAAAGTCTCCATGCCTTTATCATCATTTCAGGTTCATTTCATTAATTCATTTGATACAGTGTGTTTGTGTATCTTGTCTTTCATTCACGATTTGTCTGGTGCATAATTACCCTCGAGGTTTTGTGCCATTAAAAATCAACCAACCAACCGACCGGTCAAAATGCTCGTAACACAACCAATCTTCCGTGGGTAATTTAAGGATTTTGATTAAAGCAGTTATTTAATTTATAGGAACTGCAGCTACAGCAACTGTTACTATATCTTTCTTGCCCCATTAACGTCGGTAATGTCAGCAATCGAGCTGTTGTTACATGACACATATGAGCATTAATATCCTTTCTGTCTCAGAATTTGATCTTTCAACAAGTTTCACCCATGGCCAGAATCAGGAATACAGTTGGATACCTGAATGCTTTGCGGCTGCTTCGTGTTGAAGTCCAAAAAAAGTGTAACAAAATACATATTACTTTCGTTTAAACTTCTTAATAGATTTCTGAAATTGTTGAGAACCGCCTGTTTGCGTTTTCACCAAAAAAAAAAAAGCCTTTTTTACCCCCCTCTCTATAAGTTAGCGAATTTTACTTAAATTCTTATCTATCTTCTAATTTGCTTTAATTATACGTATAGGCAAATACATTTTGGAATTGCATATAAATAGGACATGTTTAAAATAAGTCTGGATTTTTCCCCCCGTACAAAAAAAAAAAATAAGTAGAGGCTATCCGTTTAGTTTTATTTCTGAATCAAAACTATTTCAATAACAAATTATTATTTCATATTTTCAAACATCGATAACGAAAGCTCTTGAAATACGTTTCGAACAGTATAAAATAAAGTAACGGATGTTTTGGCGTTTTGAATAAGCTATGGAAATGTGATTAAAACACAATTCAAGATTCAGCACTAAACAAATTGCTCAGTATTTGCTCATTTAGTGCTAAGCGATTTCCCATCAGTTTTTCAAATCCCATGTGAAAACATTTAATGAAACTTTTAACCGCTCATCTATCTTCTTTCTTCCCTTCTTTCTTTTGTTCTTCTTTCTTCTTTATTTGGCACTTTGTTTTGGATTTCAAAAGTTTCCATCGTAACCTAATTAGCAGGATGACAACAACATCCAATTTCCTTGTACAAAAGCGTTTGGAAGAGAAACTTCAAAGCATAGAATAAAATTTGATTACTTCGTTACAAAAAAAGTTAGTTAATAGCTTCCTAATTTAACTATATATTTCTCAAAATTGAATTCTTTCAGTTTAGTTTCCAAGGCAATAATTAAAACAAATGAACTACAATTCCTCTTGAGTTCAGAAATTCTTTCGTATGACATGTGTATAAAAAGATTCTGTGTCTAAAATAGCTGTGTCTGAAAATTAAAAATACTAGATCCAAAGTTTTAATATTAGTACCAACGTATTTAGTTTCTGTATACCACTGCTCTTTCTCAACTCAACAGAAAACATTACAGATCATGAGTACATTACAGATCATATCAGGTACATGGAAACATTACAGATCTTTAAGAGGACGAAAATGCGAAGAGATATAAGGTCCCCTATCAGAAACTATCTTGAAATTCTCGCTTTAATAAGTTATTGCCATGAATTCTCCATTAACTGGTCGTTCAATGAATCGTCTTACTAATCTTCTAGAGCTAATAAATTTAAGTAACCTACATTTTTAGGATACGTGTCACCAGGTAACTGATACGTCTCCAGTAGACATAACTAATTTGAATATAGTTAGCTCTAGCAGTACGTTACACGGATCTTAGCATCTAGATTTCTTGTAAAATGCTATGATATAAAGTTCCCAGTTTACACTGTATCTTATGTTTATGTTACCGTGAAACACCGAAATTGGAGAATGTCGACTTTCACCGGAGAATATCAACATTCACCAAATACGTCGGTGAAAGACCGAATATTTCACTACATTCTTGTATATTCGGACCCTCACCGGTGTATGTGGACAATCACAGATATGCTCTGGTGAAAGTCGAAAAAGAGAGGTCATAAAGTGTCCTAATAGTTTAAGTTGTTGCAATAAATAAGATTTGAATCACATAATTTAGTAAGTTTTTTATGACTGTTATTTTATTTTCTCATTTAGAACGTACTGTATAATTAAGTAAGTTTTTAACTTCTATTATTTTCCTTTCTCATTTTGAATGTATTGTGTGTTTTAGGTTCTCATGTTCTTAAGTTCTTATTCCAACTCTCAAGGGCGTTTATTCGCGACTGAATTACGGAGAAGAAAATATAATATTGTTATATGTTCAACATTCACCATCAGTGCATGGTGAATGTCGACATTGACCGGTGTAAGTCAGAAATAAGAGTATTTGGAAAATATTTCGGACATATACCAAGAGACTAAGTGAATGTTGACATTCACCGGTGAAAGTCGACATTTTCCAGATTCCGGTGTTTCACCGTAACATTTACATAATGGTTTACATTATGGTTACATAAAATTGTACGTAATAACAGATACATGCGTGTTTCCAGTTTCTGGCATGTTGTAAGGAGTGAGAACATACTTTATATACGGCTCCTTTTAAAGGGCGACTGGGGATTAGGAAAGCCAGTTGCTAAATCCTGCCGGTGAAAATTCAAGATCCACCACCTTTTAGTTCGTGTGTCGCTATAATGTCTTTTGGTTGTTTTGAAGCAAGAGACGTGAACAATTAGCAATGCCTTTGGAAGGACTCGAACCTGCACCTCTAGAATATGCGCCAAGTGCTCTGACCGCGACACCACGAAGGCATTCTGGGAGGAGGAAGAAAACAGCTTATAAACTAAATTTCGTATATTTTGCAGTAACGCGTAATGAGTGATGGAAATGACAGTAAGACGATTGCAAAGAGATAAGTAACTTAATATTTTAATAAATTATTTATATTAATACGAGGGCCGAAGTAGATTACGTTTCCGTCTGTGTCCGCTAGGGGCGGGGCTAGCGCGGCCATCTTGGGGTCAGAGCGTTGCGCAGCTCAGTCTGCATCTAGCCGTGCTAGTGAGAGGTTCGTGCTGTGCTCCGTTCAGATACTGTGACGGTTTGAAATGTCTGCGTTAATTGAAAATCCCGCGAGCTGCGAGGTGCGCTCAGTAATAAGGTTTCTGACTGCAAAAAACTGTAAACCGATAGAAATCTATCGGCAGCTTCGTGAAGTGTATGGGGACAACATTATCACTGAAGGTGGAGTGCGTCAGTGGGTCATAAGATTTCAAAATGGCCGAACCAATGTTCACGACGAAGATCGAAGTGGGAGACCCAGCATAGTGACCGCCGAACTTCTCGAAAAAGTCGATGCTAAAGTCCGTGAAAATCGAAATTTCACAATAACGGAACTTTCTTTGAGTTTTCCACAAATTTCGCGAAGTTTGTTGCACGAAATCATCAGCGAAAAGCTTGGTTACCACAAGTTTTGTGCAAGATGGATTCCAAAAATCTTGACAGAGGACCACAAAAATCAGCGAATGGCTGCAGCGTTGAACTTTTTGGACGCTTACCATAAGGATGGTGACTCTTTACTCGATCGCATCGTTACTGGTGACGAAACATGGGTGAAACATGTGAACTGTGAAACGAAATTGCAATCAATGCGTTTTGATGACGACGCACAGCTGCAAGAAGAGGTAACGAAGTGGTTGAAGGCGCAGGCGGCCGAATTTTTCGACGAAGGAATTTCCAAGCTCGTACATCGCTACGATAAATGCCTTAATTTGTATGGTGACTATGTAGAAAAGTAGTATTTGAGTGTGGCTTTCATCTGTATATAATAAAATTTGTTTCCTATACTTTGTTTATTTTTTTATTCCAAAACGTAATCTACTTTCTGGATAGCCTTCGTAGTATAATTATTACGAATATATTAAATTTGCTTATAAGCAAGGAAAGTCTAAATTAAATTAATTAAAGCTGTTTGGTTGTTATCCAGAAAATGTTGTTCTGTCAAATAATCATAATGGAATCGGAAAGTAGCATTATAATTTAATATACATATATATCTATTTACGATTGCTTCCGATAACCGTAGCATTTAAACGTTCATCCAATTTTAGAGCAATAATAGGAAAGGAGTTGACGTATAAGAGACAATAATCCTTTCTTTTCTTTCATTTGATGAAAAACGTTTATAAGGTGTAAGAAAAAGACTCTTTTACTCTTAAGGTAACTTAGATTACTCTCAGCCGCGATCTTGACATTTAGTACTAGAGAAGCTTAATAAATTTTGACAAAACCAGAAACACGATTCGTTGCTTTCAACGAAAAAATAATTCTGCGCTGTATTGCCAGCAAGTGTTGAAAAAATAGTTGTTGGCTCTCATGGAATTAAAATCGTCTGTAAATATGTGATTGTTAAAAAATATTGAAGAGCAATGCCATAATGGTTTCAAGAATAAAGTTCTGAATAGGATCTGCGAAAACTGAAAAATTAATTTTGTTAACGCGAATAATGATACCTTGTAAGATGAAGAAAGGATTCGGAAATTTTGTGACTAGTAGAGAATAAATGAAGGATGGAAAGATTATTCACATATTTTTTTTTAAAAAAAGGATGATGTGTTTTATTATATTATGTAGACGCTATCCTAAATATTGTTAGTAACAATAAACGAAAAAAAAAACTTTATAATAAGCAAAACGTTTAAAATAATTGAGGGGTTTTGCAAGATAATATTGTTGCGAACTCTTTTCTACATGGATAGATAATTTTAATGAAATCATAGGCGAAATTGTTGTATTTTTCTGTATAATATAACATGAAAATAGAATGTAACATTTTTGTGTAATATAACATGCAAAACGATGCTCT